GTCAATTATTAGGTCAGGAAGGGAATAAAGATAAATCAGATGTCATTTTTGTATCATGTTATAACGTATTGAAGGATGCAAACCCTTTTGGCTGGATGAAGAAAGGTGGGCTCTCCCTCAAATATCTATTTGGCTGCTTCTATTCAAAAAAGCTCCTAGGAAACTCTCGTTGCAAGCATTGCAAATAATAATAGTATTTCTTACATTTATTTACATCGTCAAAAGGGGATATTTGAAAGTACTTTTAAGGAATTATTGCTTCATCTTTTTTTCTTTTTTTTTTTAGTGGAAGGAGGGCGGTGCCTCCGAGATTTAATATGTCCTCACTTGTGGCGAAGGAATACTGTGGTTACAAATGATATCAATAAAATCAATAAATGAGGAAATATTACTTCCTTTACAGTGAAAGTAAAGAATAATAGGAAAGTAGTAAAAAAAGAGTACTACTCCATTACAAAAAAGCACAAGTGTAGGCAAAAATAAAAGTAAAACCAAAATACAAATACTTAAACTCTAGTATTGGGTAAACCATATCTATCAATGTGAACAAGTGCTCTGATATGTCGTGGTAGGTCAACCCTCGATAGTAAGTGCATCTACAACTTGGTTCCCCTCTTTGAAGATGTGAGAAACCATATCTCTATTAAAGGAAACGATATTCGCAATCTGTCTGAATATCCCCTGGATAGACCATGGTCTGCCACCTCGATGATGCAGTGAATATCCCCTGGATAGACCATGGTCTGCCACCTCGATGATGCAGTGAATAGTCACAGTCGAGTCTAACTCAACCCAAGTATCTGACAAACCAAGATATCTAGCCAGTAGTATCCCATCACGAATAGCCCTGAGTTCCACCTCTAATATCATACACTATCCATATGAAGTTGAGAAAGCTCTGATACATTTTCATGAGTAGTCTCTGATGATGCCTCCCCCACTCGCAAACCCATCGTTGACACAACCATCGGTGTTGATCTTGATAGATCCTAATGATGGAGTACGCTACCAAACCATAATAGGGGAGGAGATGGGGGGAGAGTCAAAGAAATATCAAAAAATATAGCAAGCTACATGTCATTACACCAATGTAACGGTCGGAATAGTC